ACTCACCGCACTCAAGAAATCACACTCACTCTCTCCGGCAATCACACTGAGCAGATGTTCCTGTTTCTCTTCAAGGCACCTGACACACCCTTAGCTTTGGGATTCCCCTGGCTCCAGCGACACAATCCACAGATTGATTGGGCCAAGGGATGTATCGTGGGGTGGAGCACCCATTGACATGAGCAGTGTTTACGCTCTGCGGTGCCGGGGTGCATGTCAGACAATCCTACGGGGCCGCCCACTCGCCCCGACTTGTCAACCGTGCCCGCCGAATATCACGATCTAGGACAAGTCTTTAGCAAAGACGGGGCCCAATCGCTGCCCCCCATCGTCCGTACAACTGTGGGATTGATTTGCTCCCAGGCACCCCCTTGCCCACTAGCCGACTCTATAGTACTCGAAATCTGAGTGCGAGTCTATGGAGCGCTACATTACGGACTCCCTGGCAGCTGGCATCATCCGCCCCTCCACCACTCCCTTGGGCACACGCTTCTTTTTTGTTGACAAAAAGGGATAAGACCCTATGCCCCTGCATTGACTATCGGGGACTAAACAAAATCACTATCAAAAACAAATATCCCCTACCTCTGCTCGCCTCAGCTTTTGAACTCCTTCAAGGGGCCACCCATTTCACCAAACTTGATCTCCGCAATGCTTATCACCTGGTCCGCATCCACAAGGGGGACGAGTGGAAGACGGCCTTCAACACCCATCTGGGCCACTTCGAGTACCTGGTAATGCCGTTTGGACTCACTAACGCCCCTGCCGTCTTCCAAGCCCTGGTAAATGATGTTCTACAAGATTTTTTGAACCACTTCGTGTTTGTTTATCTTGACGACATTCTGATTTTCTGCAGATCCAGAGCTGAGCATGTTAAGCATGTGAGACTGGTGTTGCGCCGCCTGCTGGAGAATCGGCTGTTTTGTAAAGCGGAGAAATGTGAATTTCATGCCTCAACTGTCTCTTTTCTGGGTTTTATCACTGAACAGGGCCGGTAGAGAGCGGACCCGGCTAAGGTCAAAGCTGTGTTGGAGTGGCCTGTGCCCGGCACCCGTAAGAAGTTGCAAAGTTTTCTGGGATTCAGCAACTTCTACAGACGTTTCATCCGGGACTTCAATAAGGTAGCATTGCCTCTCACACAACTGACATTGCCCAAACAGCCATACCTGTGGTCTCCGGCAGCTCAGCAAGCATTCGACCGTCTCAAGAGCCTGTTCGCCTCGGCCCCCATCCTGGCCCAGGCTGACCTCGCCCTGCCATTCGTGGTGGAAGTGGACGCTTCTGATTCGGGAGTTGGGGCGGTTCTCTCTCAACGCCAGGAAGGTAAATTACACCCCTGTGCCTTTTTCTCCCGTTGTCTCACTCAGGCCGAAAGGAATTATGACGTGGGCGACCGGGAGCTTCTTGCCATCAAGTTGGGGCTGGAGGAGTGGCGGCACTGGTTGGAGGGGAGCGAACATCATGTTGTCGTGTGGATGGACCACAAGAACCTGGCCTACCTCCAAGCGGCTAAGCGCCTGAACGCCAGACAGGCCAGGTGGGCGTAGTTTTTTGCACGGTTTAACCTAACCATTACCTACAGGCCCGGGTCCCGGAACACGAAACCAAACGCCTTGTCACCAATGTTCCCTCTAAACTGCGCACATGTGCAATTGCGCACTGCTGGCATGGTCTCTGTGCACAGAAAATCTGTGTTGCACACAAAAAAAAAAATCCAACCTGAATTGAAATAAAAACTAATACTTTAACAATTCTGTTCTGCAGTGTTAGTCAGTAAGTGACTGGCTGCTCCTGTATGGGATTAGAACGATGCCACCTTATCCCATAGTCCAGCCAAAAATGCGATTCACATTCGTATACGCAGCCAATCAAC